AGGGCATGAAGCAGAGCTACGATGAGTACGCGGACTCTGACGAGGACCAGCACGATGCCTACTTGGAGAGGATGAAGGAAGAGGGCAAGATCCGGGAGGAGAACGCCAACGACAGCAGCGACGGCTCTGGGGAGGAGACGGGTGAGGGCTGAGGCTGGAGGGACAGCTGAGGGGCCTGTCCTGGCTTCTTGGGCTTCTCCCCGCACCCCGGTGAAGTCACGTCTGCCCTCGCCTTGCTATAAGCTGACCCCTGAGTTCTCCTTCCAGATGAGTCCTTCAACCCTGGGGAGGAGGATGACGACGTGGCTGAAGAGTGAGTAGGGGCTGGGCCTTGTCTGTCTCGGGGAACGTGCGTCGTGAACGTCGGGGAACGCTCTGGGTGTAGCATCAGAGAACCACAGACTGGTTTGGGTTCAGGGAAACCTCATCTCGTCCAATCCCCCTGCAGGGAGCAGGGACATCCCCAGCTAGAGCAGGGTGCTCAGAGCCCCGGCCAACCTCACCTGGGATGGTTCCAGGGATGGGGCAGCGACCACCTCTCTGGGCAGCCTGGGCCAGAATCTAACAACCCTCCGGGTCAAAAATTTCTTCCTTCTCTCTGGTCTAAATCTCACTCTTCTGGTTTAGAACCATCCCCCCTTGTCCTGTCGCAACAGGCCCTGCTGAGAATTCAGTCCCCATCTTTCTGACAGGCCCCTTTAAGTACTGGAAGGTGGGAAGAAGGTCTCCCTGGAGGCAGTATCGCTTTGTAAATCCCTGGAGTTAAGACTCTGGGGAAGCAGCGCAGTTCCGGGCTCTCTCTGTGATAATGACTTGACACACTCCAGGGGCTGGAGCCGGCAGTCAGGGATCGATGGCTCCAGGGTGAGGTCTCGGGGGGAGGTGGATGTGGGTGGAGCTGAGCCCTGTAGCATCATGAGGGCCCAAAATTTACAGGAAGATGAAAAATGAGCTGTGTTTGTGGAAGGAGAATCCCCTGGGAGCTGTTGAGCTAGAACATAACAGCTTCAGCTCGAGAATTTCCGAACTACGGGCTGCCAGAGGCTGGAGAGCTCGGGGCGAGGGGTTGCTGCCCTGCCCGTGTGTGTCTGCTGCGTCTCCCCTGCCTCCTGCTTCCTCTTTTTGGGGTGGGGGCCCCGAGCTGTGGCTGAAGCCGGGTGTCCCCCCAGGTTTGACAGCAACGCCTCGGCCAGCTCCTCCAGCGGCGACGGCGACAGCGACCGCGACGAGAAGAAGCCGGCCAAGAAGGCCAAGGTGGCCAAGGACCGCAAGCCCCGCAAGAAGCAGCTGGAGGTGAGGGGCTGCTGCTGGGCCCTGGGGCAGGACCCGCCCTGGAGCAGTGCCAGGGAGGCGCAGGTCCCGGCCCACCTGAGCTGCGTCACCTCCTCCTTGTAGAATCAGAGTCATTTTGGTGGGGAGCGACCTTCCAGGTCTAGTCCAGCTGTTCTCCCAGCACTGCTGCGTGGCCTGTGCCACCCTCATGCTGGGCTTTGCCTGCCTGGGTCAGTTCTCCGAGCCTGACACTGCTGCCTGCCTGGACTGAGTCTCTTCCACCAGGCATGTTGTGCCCACAGTTGGCCAGTCTTTTTGGTTGTTGGAAGATTCTTCTTCAGCCACCTACCTTTTCAGCTTCTGTGGGGGTGCTCTGACAACCTCATGGTGTAGCTGAATCGGTGGAGGAGGCCAGCTGAGGCCCAGCTCCTCATCCTGGGGCAGCTTTGAGGCTTTCATAGAGTCACAGACTGGTTTGGGTGGGAAGGGACTTCTAAAGCTCATCTCGTCCAACCCCCTGCAGGGAGCAGGGACATCTGCAACTAGAGCAGGTTACTTGGAGCCCCAGCCAACCTTACCTGGAACGGTTCCAGGGATGGGGCATCGACCACCTCTCTGGGCAACCTGGGCCAGGGGCTCACCACCCTCAGAGTCAAAAAACTTCTTTCTCTATAGCCTAAATCTTGCCTTTTTTTAGTTTAAAACCATCACCTTTTTCTCTCTCTGCTTCCTGTGTCCTAGAGCAAGAAAGGGAAGGACCCCAACGCTCCCAAGCGGCCGATGTCTGCCTACATGCTCTGGCTGAATGCCAACCGGGAGAGGATCAAGTCAGAGCACCCTGGCATCAGCATCACAGACCTGTCCAAGAAGGCCGGGGAGCTCTGGAAGGCCATGTCCAAGGAGAAGAAGGAGGTGAGGGACAGGGCGGTGGGGCTGCTGGGCTCTCGGGAGCCTGGTGCTCCATGGGCAGGAGGGTGGGAAGGGATCGTGGCCCCGGGGAGCTGTCGAGGGAGCGTGGGCTCAGTGGGAGGTGCCGAGGGATGCGGTGGGAGCGCTGGCGCGGCGCGCGTGGGGACGGCCGAGGGCGCTGGTGGAGGAGGGGGCAGGTCCTGCTAGCCACGTGCTGCTGCTGCAGGAGTGGGATCGCAAGGCGGAAGACGCCAGGAGGGACTATGAGAAGGCCATGAAGGAGTATGGCATGGGCAGCAAGTCGGAGAGCTCCAGAGTGTGAGTGTGCAGAGCTTTACCCCTCCAACATTGGGCTGTGCCAGGGCCTCGCCAGGGCTGGGGGGTGAGGAGTGTCCTCAGGGTGATGCTTCTCCCCCTTCTGCCCCATCAATGTGTGCAGGGAGAGGTTGAAGAAGAAGAAGAAGAAGCAGGAAAAGCAGATGAAGGGGAAAGTGGAGAAGAAAGGTTCTACGTCCAAGTCCTCATCCTCCTCCAAGTACCCTGCCAAGAACACGAGCGAGAACTTCAAGAGCAAGGAGTTTGTCTCCAGTGATGAGAGCTCCTCGGCAGAGAGCAAGAAGGAGGTGGGGGCCTGCGCTGGTAGGGGGTCCCTGGGGAGCTCTTGCTGGAAGGGACCTG